AATGGGAAAACATAGAAGCAATGTTAAGTTGAACACTGAAGCTATTTGTAATAAGCTGTCATGTATTGCCAGAAGTGAACACTGGATGGAAGGAGTAGATGAAGGTAGATTAACACAACTTGGCGGCAGAATGGGAAGACACCAAAATGGTCTGGGGAAAGGAGAAAAGTGAGAATAGGACTAGAACGGTGAGGTCAAAGCAACTGGGAAAGCCATAGGCATAAATCTTCTTGATTGCTGCCTCTGCTGGGGGACAGCTCATTGCTGAAGAAAAGTCGGGCTTAAGTGAGACTGACAGGGAACAGGAAACAAATAGATGGTCAATAGCGCAGAGACTATGAAAGAGGAGACTTTAAAAAATGAGTAGAGATAATTGAGAGCTGGGGAAACTGCAAAGAGAAGCAAAGAAGAGAAAAATGATGAGCAGCAACAACGAAAGGAGAATGTAGAGTAGGGGAGAATGCAAAGTGAATCCCCTGTTCAGAAAGACCCCAGAAGTATGTAAGAAAGGCAGAACCCATCACGCAGCTTTACGTAAGGGATAGCTGGTTTCCTTTATGCATTCAATCATTTCTTCTTGCCATGTAAATCAACCGTACTGCTGCTAATAGTCTTGATTTTATAGCATGTAATGTGTTTTCTGCTCAGGTTGCTGTGATAATGCAACTTTCAAATATTCAGTTCCCCCCCCCCCCTTTTTTTTTTAAGCTGTGAATTTAGGGACCTGTTTTTTGTAGGAAAAGGTCTGAAAATTGAACTCTGAGATGTAAAAAAAAGGAAAAGCAAATCAACATATACAAAACAAACTGTTACTAAAAAACTTTTTTCAAGAGTAAGCCTTGATTATGGAACTGAAACGGGGTTTTTTAACCACGTCATGTTGTCAGCATTAAGTGCATCTGAAGGCGCAGCATGACCTAAGAGTGCTGTGAAGAAGCAGCGAGCATTAGCAAGTGCTCCCTGCATAAGAACAGGGAGTACATTTAGGAACAGGTATTGGCATTACATTTTAACTTTTGTTTGTCATGTTTGGTTACGGTAATAAGACATGATGAGTGTCCCCTTGGATATGATTTTTCCTTTCCAACGATTATAAAGACAACTCAAACTGGCTCAGGACAAATACTTATATTTTCTCAAACCCTGGCATATGTTGGGATTCATCCAACCTATGTTAAATTTTCTCAGTCAGGCTAGGCTGGGTGAATATCACCCTTTATCAGAGACCAGTCCATTGTCCATTCAGATAAATTCCAGAGGAAAGGATGTAGAAAGACAATTTTAAAAACACACTGTCTTTGCAAAAGTGTCAACAGAAAAATTATACAATTGTTACTGAAACTCTTTTTTTTTTTTTTAAATTTGAAAGTGCATAAATGCCAAAACCTGACAAATATTCTTCTGCTGTGAAACCTACCCGATTCCATCAACCTTTTGACTGTTATATGGAAAAAATGTAAGATTTGGAAAGGAATTTGATGGATCAGAAGGAACTACCAGTACCACTGAAAGGTAAATATCTTATTAGGAAAGTGGTAAATTTATCTTTGGTAAACAACCATTCAATAAGCTTGCAAAGGTAGTGTTTTTCAGCTCTTTGCTAGCTGCAGCTCTTCAATACAGTCACCTATTGTAACTGGGTCTTAGTCACATTTAAATCTGAATTCTACAAGGATGCAGGGGTTCACATAGATCAGCTTGCAATACTGGGATGACATCCTGTATTCCTTATAAGATGCTGGATAGGCAAGATATGAAACAAGATGGTTTATTCCTGGGGGACTTAGTGCACTTAATCTTTTACCTCTGATTCCGGCTCAGTTCTTTCATGCTTTTGTCAAAAAACAAAACAAAGCAAAACAAAAAGCCTCACGGTTCTTGGCTGCAGCATAAAAAATATGCCATATGACAACTGATAGCCTAGTCACAAAGTCTTTTTAACACAAGGAATGAATAGCAATGTGTCATATGTATATACGTGAGCAATGTGAAATGCTACCTACCCACTTGCAGTCATTTTATTGTGTTATTTCCACAAATATAAATAGTTTTTTATCAACCACCTGGTTCTTTTCTGTGACATGCTCTCTTTGACTCATCAGAAGCTTGTTATATGTGGGTGAAGAAACACTGAATGTATTCCATAACCCCATTCTTTTATCAATAATTTCCTGTTATCATTACACAATGATTTGAATTTTGTGAATATGGTCACAAAGGATCAATTCAATTAAACCAGAACTACAAAGGGAAAATCTCACTGCAAGCCTCTGTGCAACTGGTGAACCCAGTAATTATATATAGCCACCTATTGTGCTAGCATAATAACATGTGAAGAAGGTTTAGTTAGACACATTTACACACATAAAAAGCAATATGGGCATAGAAAAAGTCATTTTTGCCAAAAGGATAGAACAGTCACACGGTAACAAATGAGAGCTGCATGAATTCTAGTTTACTTGGCTATAAATAAATCCAACATTTTCTTTCTCTCCATGGTAAAATAAAATAGGAGCACAGAAGCATAACAGTCTCCTTTGAGCAACCAGTCTCTTTCTGTTCAATTATAGTCGTCAATCTGTTCCACCTAAAATATTTTCCTCCTTGAGAAACCAAAGAAATCAGTATTAGGATCCAAAACATGCTGTTGCAAAAATAATGTAAAAGAGGTCTTTCCTTTTGGTGAATGCATTTGTTCTGAAAGACTGTATTTTCTTTAACATGAATTTTGTAATTTGGGTGAAAAAAAATTTGCAGCATTTATAGGGCGCTTTTAATCAGAAAATCTTGAAGAGCTTGGTAAAGAAAGGTAAGGGTTACCTTCATTTTACAGACAGGGAAAACTGCAACAAAGAGAGCTTAAAGCCTTTTTTCCTACCACCCCCAAATTCCTATGTATATTCCTTTTAGATGTCCAACTGGAAGCCTTTAAATCCTGATATTCAGAAATGCGAAACAGACAAAGCTTCAGTTGTATGAACACCCTTTCTCTCAGCAGTGATGGTGTCAGATTCTGTAGCACTGGGAAAGGCTCTCCAGTATATAATCCCACAATAAACTGGAGAGCAGGGAAGGAACAGAGTCAGGTCTCCTGCTTCCTGCTCCATGCTCTTACAAAACTTATCTAGGAGGGTGTAGGTTTTTCCATCACTTGAAATCACCAGGTAAAGTCTAGATGTCGTCTCCAATATATATGCAAGCTATAGTTTCACTAATATCTCTGGGCTTGATGTGAGGATCATTTTATAAAATCAAATAGCTTGTATTACTTATAGCACAGGATAACCATATTATGTCTTCTGGCCTGAAAACCCCTATAAATCTATGACTCTGAGAACACAAGAGAATTAACTATAATGAATTATCTTGGGGGTAACACAACAAACTTCTCATTAAGGCTTTTTCATCTTCCTGAGATGTGATACTAGCCACCAAATTGCACTGTCTTTTCCTTTACCCTGTGTGCCACTGAACCATCAAAGCACATACAGTAAAGCCAATTCGATTTAGCTAAATAGGAAAAAGTCCAAATCCTCTTCTTCATGTGGTAGTTCTGTACAGACATCTACAGAGAGCAGAACACTGTCTACCTGTGCACGTTTGAAGAATTACAGAGAATTATTTTAAAGATGAAAAATCAAGGTGTCAAAATAATACAATCTGTGGTGCAAAAATAGTTTCAGGGTAAGTTCTCTGTGCTCAAAATCTCATCATAAACTCCAAGAACTGAACGAGCACAGAGACCAATCCTTTTAGTCACAAGGACGGTTCCAAAATAATATAAAATGTGCATTTGGCATCCAGGAAAGCACTATGGGGAAATTAAATATCCCATAAATATTCCAGCCTAACTTCAACAACTATACAAACTGTCCTCGGTTTGGGGGGAGGTAGGGAAGGTTTTGAAGCAAATTTCTTGTCTTTTTTTTTTTCAGATGACCATCTTTGTAGTGCAAAATAACTACAGTTGCTCCTATTTGTTCATTGCCCCTGTACGGTGAGTTTGTCCTCAGTTCAAAGTGCTACTGTAGGGGATCACTTCTACTGCACTAAAAAAGAATAGCTTGATCACAGTCACTAAAATTTCCTCCAAGATGTATGAAGCACCCTTTAAAACATTGGTTAGCTGTTCTTACAGCAAGCATCAGTCTTTCACTTCATATTTTCTTTTAAAGCTTTTCTTCGGAAGCCAGATCTTGCAATTAATGCTTGGTTTAAGATCTTTTGTTCAATGTATAAAAGGTTAGTTTTACTATCCTCTCTTAAAGCCCACAGTGCACTATTGTAGATTCAGAGGTCTGTAATTTTTACCAACAAGCAACTCATCATTTCAGAAACCTAAATCAGAGAATTCTTTTTTTTCACTCAGCATGCAGACAACTAAAGCCCTTTTTTCCCCTGGGGTGATATGCTAGTTTGATTTTATTTTCCCTGACATTTCACCTGTCAGATTATGATAAGTAGAAGAAACAAAGAATAATCATCACATTCTCACTGAATCTCATAATCAAATACCTGGAAATATAAGATAAATTAGAAACATTATCCTGAGGGAAAACATTAACACTGAAAACACCATCAGATATCCAAATCATCTTCCAGTGACCTAGGACTCCCATACAGGTTTAAAAAATTCAGCAAGGAAGCCTGCATAGGACTGTCACATCTACTTTTTTTTAATCTTCAAATACCAGGGAATGACCTACAATGATGTAAGAAAAAAAAAAAAAAGTTGCAGAGTTAAGAAAATCTATTTAATAATAAAGCTGTATGTCTTCTTTAAGTCTTTCATGAATGCTTTCTGAAAGCAATCCTGAGGCCAAGAAACAGGACAGGTTATCATGAAATAGTATAAGCTCAAATTAACTAGTTGGCAAGGTGAAAAGATTAATGAGCCAGAACACACCAAACATGCTCCTGATTTACTGCATCTGTAGTTTGCATGTTCCCAATTTCTCTCAGTCTCACAGTGTTGAGATTCATAAGTGATGAAAACTTACCTGCTTGACCAGTGGTAATACTGACAGCTGCAAAAAGCCTCTGGGAACGACTCAAGTCAGAAACCCCGTTCACAGCTTCAACTTCAAACGTGTAGTTAGCATGAGCTAGCAGGTCCATGACAGTGACATAGTTATCTACTAATCCAGTTTGCTGGGGCATATATCCAATGTTACTCCCACAGGGAACACATTCACCCTGCTCCCAGCTGCACCTCTTGCACAAAATGCGGTAGGTCACATCATTTCTTCCCCCGTTGTCAGCAGGAGGACTCCACTCCAAACTCACGGTAGTCTGGTTGATATTGAAAATGAGGTTCTGTGGTGCCGAGGGAGGTCCTATGTAACACACAAAAAGGTCCAGCGTAACTGCACAGAACCATGGTGGGACATGTAGCTAGCATTTTAATTACTGAGACAGAAGATAGTTGAAGCGTTTTTCTTCACATAAACATTTCATTATTTTTAGTAGAAGCTGCATAAAAGCTTCCTTGAACTCACTTGGCAAGATCTTTATTTATTTTCCATTAAGGCATCAGAATAACAATTGTCTGTGTACTTACTGCAACTGACTTTTGCTGTTTCTCTTCTGTGCAATTAAAAGGATTGGTTAATGTACTTCAAAGGTTTTCTTTTATAGTTTTCCCAAGTATGGGGTTTGTTCGTCTCTTCTAAACATACGGCACGAACTGCTTCTAGTCCTTTGTTATCAGCTCTGATATGATTTACAGAGATATTTGGTGCTGCTTTGGATTTAGGAGACTTCCACTATTTGAACCACCAATCTGTGTAGGCTAGTCTATTTGCAGTTAGGAGGTTAAGCCAGATCCAATTACAGTTCAATCAAAGCTCAGATCCGCACAGGTTACTTTTCATTTTTCATGTTACTCATTTTGGTATTATATCACATAAAGCACATTGTCTACAACAATTTTACAGCCATGGGAAAACTATGCCTGTATTCTATCTATTACAATGAGTTACACACTTACCCACCATGCAATGTTTTCCAATGTTATATCAAGCAAACATGCAAATTATTTATGCTGATTCTATATTCACTGCCAGCCTTTTTTCCCCTCTGCCTTTCAATTTCATTTACTGTTGTAAATGTACTTTTCAAATATAGAAAAAGCCAACCGAAACTACTAGCTACAAGTGGCTGCACCTGGTTGGTTAAGCAATGTCCTTTACCATTAAATTCATGACTGACTCACTTGTGCATGCGACATATGGTGGATCAGAAGGTGCTCTATAATAGCTATCTTCACAATCGCATCTTGAAGATCCGTCCTTGTCAGAGAAGCTGTGAGTAGGGCAGCGAGAGCACTGCAGATCTTGTGAGGAGGATTTGTAGAACCCGCGGCCACAAGCTAAGACAGAACAGAACAAATTAAGGTTTAGATTTGCACGGACTATTATTCTGATCTTTTTTGCCTCTGTCACGAGGTACACGTTCCTGTAAATGTCTGAACTACCCATTCTGTTAGGCTGGCGCAAGCAAGATACTATGCTCACAATGTCTTTTTCTTCTGTTGATGCTGTTAATGATTTTGTGGCATTTTTATGAGTTCAGGCATACACTACAAATACCTCAGCAGTTGGCAGCACAATATTTTAACACAGAGGGCCACAGAAATGTAACAAGCATCTGTTTTTCACCAAAGGGGAGTACAGTAATGGTGTGAAACAGCTGGATGCCTGCAATAGGCCTAAACAAGGGAAAAACAGTCTGGAGAAGCTCTGCTCTAATGCCACTGAAGTGTTTCTGGAATCTGAACTAGCTGATTTGGAATTAATGGAGCAAAAGTTACTCCACTGATCTGAGAAACCCAAAGAAGCTGAAACCCACCAGTGAAGCCTGATCCCGAGGGAAAAATGAGGCGTGAACACTTGTTGGACAGACGATGCTGCTAGGAACAAGCAGAAAGAGGAGGAGTGCTGACAACGTAAACTGCACAATTGGTTTTTCCAGTTTCACAGAGGGAGACAACCAGGCTGAAATGAATTTACTAAAACTTTCAAGGGAAAGTCAAAAGGTAGATAATTGGAAATACTCATAGAAGGTAATTTCATACTGTGGTTTGCCCGCTGTGAACCCATGGAAGTAAAAAATGTGTTGTGTTCCAAAACTGATGTTTAGAAATACTTCTTTCAGCTACTGCCACAGTTCCCAAAGCAGAAACACCCATAAAACACACCTATAATGACACTCAGAAGCAGAGAACTGCTACCTAGACAGCCAGCTTAAGAATGGATAAACTATGAGAGCTGTAGGGGATGAGGAAGAAGGAAGTGGGGATCAGACAACCTAAAACTGGAAACAGATTAAGGCTCCATTTCAGCACTGAGATTATGGGCAAACTTACAAACACTGTCAACATGAAAAACAGAACACAAAAGCCATCCAGATCTTCCTAATAAAGCAGAGGGTTTTTCAACCACACTATTTTATTCTTTTTTCCAGCCAACGGACAGTCTAACCTTCTTAAGCCATCACCTGTATGCAAAGAACAGGGACAGAAGCTGAAACTTAGTATTGGGTATCAAAATATTAAAGCTAGTTAAATAGTCATTCTGAATTCGGAGAGAGAAAATTTACTTTGGTTATATTCATATTTGCTTGAATATTTTCTCAGAACAGAAGTGCAAAGTATCCAAAGACACTGATATTTGGAACAGTTATTTCAGTTGTCTGGTACTGCAGTGATGGAAAGAGCATGAAAACAACGAGCTTTACCCAAATCTCACTGAAGTCAAGGAGGAGTGTCTTTGACTTTAACAGCCTTTGGACTGAGCCCACAGATGACTCTCATTAATCTGATGAATTTTAGGCAACTGAGAGAAAAATAATGATGGTAAAAGATAACAGTAGATGAAAGTTGATGAATTAAGTAAATCAACAGTGGATCATACCAGTATAAAATAATAGGAAATTCTGGCCCTCTATTACTCTCTATCAATATACTAACTTTGCAAAGAAGAATATGCCTAAAGGACAGAAATCACCGTAACATTTAGTGTTTCTTATGCTGAAAAAAACAGTGGATGGATGCTCAATTACCTGGCAGAAAAAATTAGCATGCAAAGCATGTATCCTTTGACTTTGACAAAGGGGCACGAGCTTGCATTAGAAGAAAATCTAGCCCTGCTTGTAAAACATGCTATAGTTTGATTCTACCACAGTAGCTGTTACATATGCTATTTAGAAAAGACGACAGAAAGAATTTTGGAGAAACACTTTGGATAAACATGACCTGTGAATTCGTAGTTGTGGCAAATTTAACTCAGAATTGTCCTTTTACACCTTCACTCAAGGTTGTTTCAGAACTTCCTCACCAAAGACAAAGAGCACAAAAGCTGAACTGATTTGTATGCATGTACCTTAAGACATATATTTAAACTTCTGTCTGCTCTTTCAGTGCTTGCAATTGAAATGTAGCTAAAATTACCAAATAATAGTTTCCTGCCTTTCTTAAATAGTCATGTTCCTCTCATACCGAGAAAAACACTGGACAAATACACCAGGTCTTCCAGCACGTAGCCCTCTGCAAAGCAAAGAGCAACTTAAAAGGCAAAGATCCCTACTGTGTTTCCAGTCTGTCCTTCTCAGCAGGGAACATTACAAAGCAAAGACGCAGAGGGTAAAATAGAGATTTCAGACAGAAATAACAAAACGTAAACAGAAAACCCCTTTTCATTTTTTTTCCAATGACTTGATCAAGACATTTATATGCTTAGTCACTTACTATTTAAAGTAAGTGTGCGTTTCTTATTAGAGTTCAAAGGATCTGAATGTCTGTGACTAGTTTACATGACTGAAAGCCATTTATTCTCCCACACAGCATACCACAGGCAGCAGGTTCAGGCACTCGTACCATGCTACCATTCCATTAGCTTTTTTTCCAGTAAGAGGCTTGTGACAACATTTAATAACCACCCCTTCAACATATACACCCCATAAACGTAAGTGCCAGAATATTTCAGCATTTAAATTTTTAACGGTACGAAAATAGTGCTTTCAAAAAGGATTTTTTAAAACTTTCTAGTTCCTTAGAAATGAAGATACGCAGGGGTACACATCATAATTAGAAGTACTCATTGGAGGAAGACAACTAAATTATTTTCCCTTTTTTCTTCATAAATTTAAATTTGTCACAAAAATTTGTTTTTTCAGCCTAGCGGTGGAATACTCCTATTGCTTAAAAACTGAGGTGCTATAAATCTTTATCTGTTTTTAACATATATCACTGTCCTTGCCAAGAAACTTACAACTGAAAACTCTACCAAGACAGTGTTGCACGGACCAGTTACGAAGGTGTGATAACTTGCCAGTGAGCCATTACAGATCACAGATGGGAAAGATTCATTCAAAAACACTTTTTTTGACTCCTTTTTTTCCTCCCTTTTGTCCTATCTTGCCAAATTACCATGGTGAACTTTTTTTGTATTACAAGTAATTTAAATACATTGTTTTGTGCACAGTACTCACTCGAATACACGTTTAGCATATGCCACTGCAGTCAGTGAAATCACAAACATTTTGAGCCAATGTGTTTGGTATCATTTAAGGGCCTATGCAAATACTGCAAATAATGGAATATTGCAAAGCCACAAGTAAATACTGAGGAATTAACACACACTACTAAGAACTACGATGCCACATCTGTGGCACAACAAGGCATTGGCTGTTGTAACTAGAGATGCTGACTGCAGCTTATGTAGAAAAATAGCAGCTTCTCTGCTGTGAGCTCATCACATGCCTTAGTGGCCTCATAGAGATCAAATAATGTATATTTTTTGTTTCATATTTATAAAAAAAAAATTCCCAGAAACTCTGGAAGGGGGAACGAAGGCAGATGTAGAGAGCAGAAAACAGCAGTCTGGAGTCCCGCTTGTGGGACAGGAAAAAGGAAAAAAGGGACGTGTTAAGTACTGTTCATTTTTATGTAACCTTTTCACTATAAACAATAAGGAGATTCATTTTGCTTCTAGGAGAGCTAGTGAACTTAAATTGAGAGGGATGATGGAAATATGGTGAGGACTATAAGTGACATGTAACAACTGATGTTTATATAACCAAAGGAGAAAGAGTAAACAGTTGTAGGGCAGTGACACATTAATCAAGAAAAGTATTTGCTACTACAATAATACAAACAAATTAAAAGAAGAAATCTCCATTTGTAGAAGTGCAAGGCTTCCAGGTGGCGTATCAACTTGAGACTTAAAGGACACGCAACTGTTTCAGCATGTTAGACACTTGATTGAACATGGCTTTTGATAATAATTTTTGAGTTTATATGAAAATAATGAAACATAATGAGCTGCAAGGAGGTGACTGCACTAATTACTGTTTGATCCCATTATAATAAGTAGACTGGTGTGAGGGGAGAAGAATAAAGATGACATACTGTGCTAGCAGAGCAAGAGAGCTTGCCTGTTTACTCGTTTGCTCACCATTCCCTGAGTTTGCCATCACGATTAAGTTTTAGTGGTGTACATGACAGTTTCATGCACACTGAAGAAGATGAAACTAATGTTTAAAAACCAATACTTTTTCAAAGTCAGCATCAAAGGATGGCAAAGGAGTAATCACAGAGTTTCAACAACAGCGGTATTACTTACGGACTTGGGGTGACAGCCTGGTCCCGCTGAGAACCACGGCAAAATGACTGCCCACCTCCTGCGAGCTCAGGTTTTCCCCTGGGTTCCTCCCGCCTCTTCAGTTGAATAAAGTAAGTTGACTATATGTTAAAGTGACCCCATACATTGTGTTTTGTCCTACAGGCAGTGGCTAGAATTTGTTTTATAGCTGTGTGGACATAAGGCTCTATTCCTGCGATTTGTTTTGTGTTATCTTAATCAACTGTCTACCTTTCTACCCTTCCCAAGCCTGTGAACATTAAAGACAATTCAGCTAAGCCCCTTTTCACAGAAATTATGTATACACAAGGAGTTTGTGCAGATGTTTCCTGGATGAAGTTATGCAGCTGCAAAGACTTTATTAATTATAAAATGCAAAATGGATTGTTCTGTAATTGAAACTCTCTGGGGCTCTGATACATTTGAAAATTAACATACATATATGTATGGTCAGGACATAGATGGATGCTGTTAGATTATTTATTACAGATGGATATTTTAGCTAATGCAGAAAGAAGGCTGGTCTTTCTCCACTGGAGCTTTCAAATATTTGCTTCATATTAATGTCTATGGTTCCATAACTCAGGACTGAAAGCACAGCTTGCAGAAACAGTACTCCCACTGCTAGTGTTGCTGACCTCATCTGCGATGGACAGGTCCAGAATCTTTATTTTAATCCTATTGACAGTGCCTCAGTGGGAGTAATTATAACAGTCGGCCATAAATCCAG